AAAAAAAACCAATACATATACTTTCATGTGTAGTATCAACCTTGGGTGTTGTTTTCTTTCCAGTGCAGAATTATTATTTTTTTCCGAGTGCACCTCCAGCAGGGACAAGGACAATCAGTTCAAAGGATGTTTGTGAGCTTCACCATCTGCTTCATTGTCCAAAACAAGGGCATGCTATCTCTTGGATTGTTTTGTAGTCCTTTTTTTGTGGTAGGTAAAGAATGCTGGGACAGATACCCTGTTTAAGAAAAACAGCATTACAGTAATGCGAATAGTTGGGGCAATTGTATACAATTTCATAGATGTTGATTACCGTTACCTGCACAATGTGATGAATAGTTAATATCAGAAGGCTTTTGCTACAAGATACTTGCCAGCAAGTCAAGCTTCTTGGTTCATCACAAAAGAAGCGAGTGCTGAGACCCACTTTGCTTCAGTGCGGCACACAGATCTAAAATTACAGCTTTGCACACATTTCTTGGCTGACCCAAACACTGAGAGGAGCAAAGCAGCACATGATGGATCACTGCAGCACTGGAGTCAAAACTGAAGAGATGAGGAGGAATTTTCACGTGTCTTAAATTGTATTCAGAACCAAGTTGGCATAGACAAAAAGACCTGCAGGAAAAACACATATGAACAATCATGTTCCACATCCATTTATTATCGGAACCGCTTATCCTCATGAGGGTCGCGGGCATGCTGGAACCTATTTCAGCTGTCTTTGGGCCGTAGGAGGGGTACACCCTGAACTGGTCACCAGCCAATTGCATGGCACACATAGACAAACAACAATTCGCATTCACAATCACACCTAGGCACAATTTAGAGCGTTCTATCAACCATGCATGTTTTTGGAATGTAGGAGGAAACCGCAGTACCCAGAGGAAAAACCCACACAGGCACAAGGAGAGCATCCAAACTCCATCTGCATGTCCTCATTGTTTGTGTCCCAACGCAAAATAACACTGGTCAACAAAATTTGACCACAGAGCAGAAAACTTGTGACAAAACATCATCGGCCACATAGCACGATTGCCAAAGTAATTTTTGAATGTTTTTGGAATACAAGAAAAAAAACACACATTTTAGAACATTCATTGGCATTTTTTATGGTGTCTTTTTACTTTCACCTAGTTCTTCACCCATCTAGTTGAAGTTTTTTTAAAAATCTCAACACAAAAATACCAAAGTGTGTTCAATTTTTTTTTTTCATGTTTTCCCAAAAATATTGAAAAATGACTTCGGCAATCATGCTATGTGGCTGATGACATGGCCAAGTTCGTATTGCGCAAGCTTTTATCGGTCTAACTGAAACAACAAAGACAGAAATCTTTCCAAAACTTGATGCACTCGAAACAAAAGTAAAATAACTTTTGAAATCAGCAACAATAATACATGTAGAAACACATAAGGCTCTCGCTGAATAAAATTTGTTGTTGACCATTGTATCGAACGAATGTGCAATGCTGAATGCAAAAGAGCCTTTCCCAATTGACTTGGGCCAAATGCAGGTGAGTGACACCTTGGACTGGTTGTCAGTCTATCACAGCTCACCACAAGGAACAGGAAGCAGTCTCGCCAAAATGATTGGTCTCCTGCTTGAAATGCTCCATTTTAAATTGGTCTGAGGCTAATGAACAGTTGAGAAATCAACCATTGCAAACTGCCCCCTACCACTATAAGGCAATCTATCAAACTCTTACATTTCTGATGTCAGTTCATTTGAGCCAAAAGAAATGAAAAACAAGCCATCTGAAGCAATCAATCAGGGATCTTGGCGAGAGGCTAATAATCGAGACAGACATTCCAAGGCACTACGCTAATAAATGTTACATGAGAGGTTATGAACACCTTGAATTTCGACTCTCCCTCGCTCCCACTGAAAGTTGCGCCCAGGCTGTGAAGTGACGAGGAAGTGAGCTATAGCATGCACTGGCCTGCTAGCTAAAGCTATTAGCTACTGTGTGCAGTGAGTCGAAGCCGACTAAGTATGTGATTGTGTTTACTGTATTTTGTTACTATTTGTTCAATAAAGTGATTGAATGGTCACCAGCGGCTGTGTCCATCCTCCCTCCATTCTAACAAGGATTACAGTTCATTCCAACGAGCAGTGTTTGATTTACCTAGCGATGTCTCCTTTGTAATATAGTGAGTGAAAATGGAGCTTTTTTTCTGGGCAGATGTGATAACCAACTGTACCACCCCAAAAGAAAACACGGTGTGAAATATTTCCGCCCAAAACGCCCAAACAAACCGATCTTAAACATATTTCAGGCATGCTGTTTGAAGCGACTGTGACCAAATGTCTGTTGTGTCCAATGTTGAGCCCCAAAGCCTCGTAGAGAGACATGTCCTGATGCACTTTGATATGCTGTAAGCTCAAGTGAATCATTTTTTTTCTTTGACATGATTTGATAAAATGTGCCATCAAACAAGCTTAGAATTCACTGGTGCATTGTCGCAAGTCGACATGTGGTGCCTCACTTTCATCATCTTTGAGTCATTACCAGCTCATCATTATCCCTCTCGAGCCAACTGTCACACTGAAACATTCCAACTGTTTGGTACCATTTTCTTTTGCAGGTTCCACAAAGCGGCCGCACACCAAAGCCGGGAAGGAGAAATCACAGTGAGAGTGGCATAACAAAGGCACCAAATACAGCAGGGGGGAAACCAAAGATCCCTTCAACTGAGAACACACGAGGTGGGGAGAGATGGATGAGTTTGCGTGTCATTTCCAGATACACTTTGGGAGAAGTTATAGTTATGGAAATGAAGACGCAAACAAGTAGATTGACAGGGAAGACTTTACAAAACATTTGCAGACATGGAACATTTCTTCTCTGTAGCCTTCAAATGGATGTGGATGTTCTTTTTATCCCTAAGGCGCTTCACTTTCATTTGGATGTGCTACTACTTTTGCTTACCACGCCTTGCCAGCTCACAAAAACGGAAAACAAATCCACGTCCCACGATACATAACGATGTCCATGTAAAGGAAGAAGGGAAAGCGTAGAGTTTCAGCTGTTGAGGAAAACACATGATCACGCGAAGAAATGAAAAAGAGCCCTTGATCTGGAGAAAAAGGGAAAACTAAGAAACAAATTGAAACTTAAAACAATAACATGATTTTCAGACAGAATGATCATTATGTTGGTGCAGCACACCTTGGGATCTCTCATCTGAAGCGCCGCCAGGATGTGGCAGCCATTTTTCATTCACATAATTGCCGACAAGAGAGATGGTGGTGTTCCTGAGGTGAGGTCATAACAGTTGCTCGTCTTTACCGTTATTATGGATGTATAAAGACAAAAGTGTCATGGGTTTAATGAAGAGTTCGGATCGTTCAGGCACTTTTACAGTGTCTATCTCTCTATCTGTGTGTGTGTGTGTGTGTGTGTGTGTGTGTGTGTGTGTGTGTGTGTGTAAATGTATAGTTCATTGATTTTAATTGACATATTTCTGCACCCAATTGAGTTATCAGATGTAAATTCCGACCTTAATATCGAATCATCTGCTCTCTGAGGAGAGAATACTGAGAGCCACTTCATATTAACGCACAGTATAAACTTGCTTGCTTTTCATTGGACAATATTGATATTTTATGGCTGGTGTACGCGATTCTGTCACATCAGGAGAGAACAGTGATATTTATAAAGACAAAAGTGTCATGGGTTTAATGAAGAGTTCGGATCGTTCAGGCACTTTTACAGTGTCTATCTCTCTATCTGTGTGTGTGTGTGTGTGTGTGTGTGTGTGTGTGTGTGTGTGTGTGTGTGTGTAAATGTATAGTTCATTGATTTTAATTGACATATTTCTGCACCCAATTGAGTTATCAGATGTAAATTCCGACCTTAATATCGAATCATCTGCTCTCTGAGGAGAGAATACTGAGAGCCACTTCATATTAACGCACAGTATAAACTTGCTTGCTTTTCATTGGACAATATTGATATTTTATGGCTGGTGTACGCGATTCTGTCACATCAGGAGAGAACAGTGATATTTTGACCAACGCTAAGCTCGTTTACACATTGCTTAATGCCAACTCCAGCGCGCGTGTGCTTGCTTGTTATTGTGTGGACGTGACGTGTGTTTGCCACCCACTCGGGAGGCAAAATGGCCTCCTTGACAAGTCTTCATAGTTGCAGGGCAACCGAGGGCGCCTGGTAACAGAATAGAGAGATGAAAACCTGTCGGCAAATGACAACTGCACACGCTCCCTATTTAGTCGGCACTGCAAACGAATGTGCAATCCGTTCCACAGATGCCATGGAAACATTTATAGAGGACAAGGCACAAGATGCTGTCTGCCTCCTGCCTCCCGCGCATGGATATCTATGGTGCAAATATCAAGAATCTTTTTGCGGGTGATCCAGTTTGTCGCTTGTAATTTCTGCTGCTCTCATCCATCCATGAAAGCGGCAATAATGTTTGTACGTAACGTTAACTAAAAGTGCTGAAGCCCTACCACAATCACACCTGCTTTTAGTTACTAATTGTGTCCAAGCACATTCATCCTTCTTTTAGATGAAGCTCAATTTTAATTGGCCCTGTCAGGGAGATATTCAGTATGTTTATTATTGGAATTGTATTTTCCAATGGTGTGAAATTGCACAGAATCATACTGGGAGCTGTTTCTATTTTTTATTATTATTTTATCCCTTTTGTGTAGCTGTGTAAGTAAGCAAAATCTCAGGCAAAAAAAAAAAAATGTAGTACTACATTCATGATTTGTGCCAGTAAACCAACAGCAGTCGAAAACAAAATATCCTAAAATGTGTGTGTTGGGTTCAGGAACCGAGTCTAACATTCGGGACACAATTCAATGATATCATGTGATCAGAAAACCCTTTTGATTTTAACGGATGAGAAGAGCAAGTTGTGACTGGTCAGCGTCTTGAACTTTTTTTCTTTTCACAACGGACTTGAGCTTGGAATTTGCCACGTAATGTCCGAGGGGAGTTGCACACAAGATCAGTCGGAAATATACCTGATTGGTTGTTCATAGAAGTAGACTTTATTTTAAATATGCGACAACAACAAAATGACATGCAAATATCCCTATCTCTACATGATATCATACAAATAATGATGGTGACTTACAAAATATAGAGATATTTAAGACCATATGTACATAGCATTTACATCACTATATCCATTTTGTTAATGTGTGTATTACTACATAAACATTTAATAGGTATTCTTTTTAATTTCCATAAGATGACTATTTGCATTATTTGTTATTACTTCTTCATTGTAAGGGCTATTATCTTTATTCGTACGTGTCTATAAGTTACTCTCGAAAAAACAAAGCATGTTGCAGAAGAGAAAACGGGACCATACCTGACGTTACTGTGCCTGAATGGTCAAGGAGCAGAGGCCACCCAGTGAGCACCCCGTCCTCGGTAAAGCATGGAGAGTTGGCTATGCAGAGCACAAGGTTCAACAGACGATTTGTACAAGGTGCTAACCGGGCTAGCGAGCTGACACTCCATTCCAGCATCATTTGGATTCCACTGAGGGGAAAACCATGACGCCGCTTGGAATCCAGCACGTAGCCTTCACTAGCCCGACACAACTTCCGCATTGTCCACATAGATACATTTAACGCCAAAGCCTTTGTTTAGACTTCTGAACGGCGACCCCACTCCAGTGTCTTATTTACCTGTAAAGCGGTTTGTTCAATCTTCCCAGAACATGGGACACACGCACAGACACTCACACAAGTATTATTTACCTTGACCACATTCATATTAAGCAGTCAAATTAAGCAGTGCTTCTTCTCGCTACTGTTGGCGTCCAACGTTGTAAACATTCCTTCTGTTATCTGTTGTGTAAGAAAACTGAGCTTCCTCTTGTAGTTAGATCATTCTGCGTAGGTGTGCACAAACACTACCCGAGTTGTGTAAGCTCACAGCATGAAAAATAGGCCTAATGTCTCTTTACATCCGCCCCTACGCACACACTATTATCTGTCACTATCTCACACTCAGCTACCCACTCTCTGTTGCTTTTATTGTCTCCTCACCTGTCTCTCTTGAACGTTCACATCCCTACTTATGCCCTCACCATGATTTTTGTCTAAATTTATGAAATGATGCAGTTTTTGCTCTTCCTCCGCTGGCGGGCATGCAGCTGGCCATGAATGGGTCCGTGCAGAGGTCCGTGATGGCCACCCATTCCGGAGGGGCTGTAGCGATGGCGTAGCTCCTCGTTGTTGATGTAGCACAGCTGCACAGGGCGAGGGATCGGTTCACCCATGAAGTAGCCCTCGTTGTCCTCCGATTCAGAGGAAGAGGAGCAGCTGGAGCACCACGCGTCAGCGGCTTCCATGTAGCCATCGCCCCAGCATGGCCCACCCAAACCAACAGGTTGCCAGCCAGCATTTTGTAGGGTGAGATCAGAAGTGGTGCGGGGACACGGCCGGTGGGGTTGTGGTCGGCACCCGCTCGGCTCCGGCCCAAACAGCTCCCGAGCGGCGTGACCAGAAGGGAAACGATCGTAATCTTCCTGGACGCGGCGGTATGGCAGCTCCACCGTTTGAGCAGGTCGGTCGGCCACCAGGTGCAAAGCGTTGTCGGAGCGAGAACGGCGGGAGCGTTTGTGGTGGCGGGTGCTGCGGTGCTGACCTCGATGGTGTTTGCGACGTCTCGGTTGAGGCTGTTGATTCTGGGACGCAAGCTCCGGCCCGTTTATGAGTCGACGGGGCATTCGGTCGCTCATGGGAGCCATTCGCAAGTTGCCACTGCTGCCCATCAACCCAACGCGACCTTTGCTATCAAAACCCAGGGGCTGTGGCCCATCCCAGTACTGCAGTGGGTAGCCAGCTCTGTGTGGTGTGTACATGTTGTTGTTCAAGGGACGAGATGAGGACAGAGACTCCGTGCTATGGAACTGAACTGAGGAGCTGAGCGTTCCCATGTTGCTCTTTTCAGACACATTTACACCTGAATCCTTGCTCAGGTCAGGCATGGAGAACCTGGACAAATTCTCCTGACGCTTGCCGACCCCGTCCAGAGAATTGCCTGTGAAAATTAGAAAGCACATTTCACATTTGCATCCCATTCGCAATTAGAGCAGAATGTACATGCCGCACGCGCAAACTCGTTACCTGTAGCATTGGACACAGTGAGGGAGTCCACGGAGCCATGAGGTGTCTGTTCCAATGGAGTCAGTGGCTCATTGAAGCTCATGGCATTGAAGTGCTTCCTTCTGGTTAGTGGGGGCCTTCCATCTCTCTGGAACCCGTGAAGGCTAATGCTCCTCTTGTCAGAAAATGCTTGGTTCGGGCTTGACATCTCATTGAAACTCATTTGGGTGCGAAGCTTGTTCGGCCTGAACTCATCCTGGCTATGGTGGATCCAGTTATCATTAAAAGAGTGACCCCTTATGGCAGCCATAGGTGTCCTCTTTGCATTGCCTTGTTCTTTCCCCCAGGAATCGGGCCTCTTTCCGGGGTTGACGGGACTCTGGGCTGGCGGGTGAACATTTGAGTTGGGATTATAGCCCTGCCTGGCGTTACACTGACCTAAAAAATGAACAGATGTTGGGGTGGGAGATGAGTCTTGCTGGGGGCCCTCAAAGGCAGCGGGGACATAAGGGTCATCCCGGCTCATCCACACCTGGTTAAGGCTTGGAGCGCGACTTGGAGTGCGGCTCGGAGTGCGACTGGGAGTGCGGGTGGGTGTCCTGCTCGGGGTCTGGCTGGCTGACACACTCAGACGGTCCATCTGAACAGTCAGTGGATCAATTTCAGCAGACAGACGGTCAGGCATCGGGGGAGGAGCTGAATGGCGAGCCTCGACATTCCTTCGCTCCTGCTCGGCATTCCCGCGCTCCTTTTGACCAATCTTGGTGCTGTGGCGAGATTCACGAGATCGGGCGCTCTGGAAAGCGGAGTCTGATGAATCGGACTCATCCGGATCCTGATTCAAACAACAAAACAGTTGGCATAAATCCGACGCACCAGAGCAGTGTTCCCTAAATGTGTATGCCGTGAGAGATAATCTACAGTCTAAAGGTTGGGAACCACTGCACTAGTTTGAATTATTCTCACTTAAATAAATGACTGTTATTACCTGTCCAGCACTGCAGGACCGTGAGCAGAAGATCTGTCCCTGCTTAGGCAAGAAAGGACGGCCGAGCAGAGAACGCTTGCAATGAGCACAACAAAAACATTCTTCGGTTGCGTGCCAGTGCTGCCCATCGTATGTCATCTGGCCTTGGTCAATGCCTTGAAGTAACAACACACAGAAGTTGAGTTTAATTATCTTTTGAATGAAAGTTATGCTGATGGCACGGATTGATATAGATGATAATTGTCATGATTCTGTTTGTGACCAACAGGTGGCACTGTAGGGCTCTCCCTGCAGCTGCACACCTGTTGGTCGTTATGTAATTATTGCTTTAAAAGGACTCCCGGCACGACCACTCGGTGTCGGGTCATTGTTAGTTTCTTTGTTGCTGTCATGTATGTTTGTCATGTTTAGGTCATGTTTTTGGGCATGTTTCTGTTATTGATATTATTTTGCTTAAGTCACGGTTTTTGTTTGCTACTTTGGATTCGTTTCGTTCTTAGGACTTTGTTTTGGATTTAGTTTTCTGTGTTTTATCAATACACTTCTTCAAGTTCACCCTGCTCTTCCCTCCTGCCTGCTTTTTGGGGTCCACCACCACCTCGCACCGTGACAATAATCAAGGCACTATTCAGATGAATCTGATGGTGGTTTTTTTGTTCTTTTTCGTTTTACTCTTTCCAAGGAAATCACGTTATCTCTCAGCGACAAATACATGTCTCCAGCCTTGCTGCTGATCTCAATCAAGCAAGTCCTGCTTATTCACAGATCCCATCTGGATACAAGATGGGCTCACACTTAATAGGCATCTATGTCTCGTTGCGCTGGCTCCGCCTCACCACAGCTGTGGCAGAGCAGGCCAGTGCTTACAATACTCTCTCTTCAATGCCTTTGAGAGGTTTTCTCTGGTGTGAGTGTACGAAATAAATGATCATGTCTTGCGACAAGGTCACGTCATTTCAATCAAACGAATCATGCATTGTTTTATGTTGCGAGGGAAGAAATTTCATCTGTGCTGCATACAGCACATTTGACAATAAAGTTGTATCCTATCCTATCCACTCCAATCCAATCCAATTGCTTACCTATATGTTCTCCACATGCATCACAGTACTCTGCAAAGAGGGACTCGAAGCAGTTGCAGCAGTGTGGCCGTCCATCCTTCATGATGTAGCGCTGGCCACCGAGGGTGGTCTCGCACTCGTAGCAGCAGAAGTGCTTCATGTGCCAGTGTCTGCCCTCCGCCTCTGTGCACTCATCAGCAAAGATGATCTGCATAGAAAAAAACATTCATTTCATTTCAAAGGTCATTTGGAACCCAAGAGAAACATTTTTTTCCCACTCCAATTGAGGTGGAATACATTTTTTCAGCCATGACATCTGACCGCTGAATTTCATAATATTTTTTCCATTAAATTCATCCGTCCATTTTCTGTACCACCAGAGTCAGCCCATATGCATGATACCACATTTCACGTCATCTCCACTGAAGCCAATCACAAACACATACATTCTATACTCAGCTCTGCTTGTGCTTGAAAGTGATCTTAAAATATGATAATTAGGTGAAACAGTCCAAGAGAGATGTTGCCATTGAGCTGATCGGTGATACTGTATTTGGTTTTCTTGGTGTTCGCTGACCATAGTCGGATGTTGCTTGCGTAGCTGCCGACTAGGAAGTAACAGGTAGGCTTCTCGCTCAGTTAGCGGCATATTCTCCCGTTGGCACACATCAGATTTGGATGAGACCTCTTTTGGGGGAGAGATGGTGTGGTCCAATATCCTCTGTGACTGGTCTGCTATTATGATACCAAAAGGATGATTTGTATTCATTTTTCCTAAGTCAGCGGTATAGACAGTCAACTATGTTTATATCTGGGCACTTTTATTTTGACATGCAGCACCGGATTTGGATGGGACCTCTTTTGGTGAAGAACTATGGTGATCTAATGATATCCAAGACTGGTCAATTGGATTATTTTGAATATATTGTTTTAAATAATGTGTACTTGCAATCATATATGTTTATTTCAAATAAACATGATTTTTAATGCATCTCAAGATTCAAATTAACTATTCTGCATTCTCTCAGGAGTAGACTGGTGGCATTATCACAGAGAGATTATTTAATATAATTATTTCTGACAAGAAGCATCGATGTTCAGGTCAGGCTCGTGCTATGCTTTTATTCTGAAGGTATCTTTCGCTGGTCATCGGTGATTTATTACCGTAATACAGTATGAAAGAAATTAGGGGCAACTGGCTTGACTTTGACTTTTTGAGGCTGGCTTGACCGCCGTGATTTCCGGATCGCGGGGTTTTCATGAGACATGAATTCCACAGAGATCCATTTTGAAAATATAGCACACAATTAACTTGCCTTCTGAATATGGAAGTCATCGACAGTGACATGTGCGTGTCTCATCCACAGTCTACTTTGAAGGAGTGTGTTGTTTTTGCATTTACTTTTTCATAAATCCAATACAAGCATTTTAATCAGAATATACCCTGCTCAGTGCGGAAAGCTTAGGAGATGGTGCAAATCAAGAGTTGACCAGGTTGCCAGGCAACGCGCTGCACATGTGGCGCATCAAATAGGCGACCAGGCATTCCGTCCTCGCGCCCAGGTATTAGATACCCATTGAAAAGGTTTACCAAGGGCACACTTTGTGTTGCTGTGTGTGAAAAGGCCTACGGTGATCAGGTCTGCTGATTGTTGGCCGCAATCAAGTCGGTCGACAGGATCTTGAGGAGAGCAGTAACAATGAAGTGAACTGTGCAATCAATGTGTCGCGTCACTTTGGAGGGTTAGGATAAAGGGTTATATTTAAGTTTGAAAGGCTTTAATTGTAGGACACTCAATAGCTCTTTATTTTATTCACACACCATAATACCCACCATTATAGTCATTTTATACTTATGTGAACATGTTGGACAAGTCTGTTTTTGAAGAAAATAGTTTTTCTTGGAATTTACTAGTTTTGTGAATAAACCAACCATGATCTCCCCCAATTAAAAAATCATTAGCTTGAACCTGGAACAAGGAATCATGATATTAGATAGAACTAATTTGACTGAATTCACAAAAAAATATCCTCTGTCAATGGAACTCCACATATAAACAAAGAAGCATTCGCACTCTGATTCACACCTGTTCATTTAGATCAGGGGTGTCGATAATCTGGCTCTCGGGGGTCACTACTGTAACCCACATAAAGAAAGATTTAGACTTAAGAGACAAGTAAAAACAACGCGCTTGCTTTGTTGTACTAATTAACACTGTGTCCAGAAATGTCAGTAGTTGATATTTTCAAGATTTTCTAACTTTAACCATTACGGTTTCAGGTGACAAAAATACAATTTGTGTTTTTTACAGTGTGTGGACAAGACGCATACTCCACACAGAAAGGCTGGTACCAAGATTCCAAACCGCAACCTTAAAATTGTGAGGCCAATGTGCTAACCATTCATCCTACCCTCTTTATAAAAGTAGTCTCATTATTATTACAAGACTTTAATTAGTGAAAAGTGGTACAACCAATTTGTCATCGTGACTTGCTTGCTTGGCTCACATACGGTGCATCAAAGTGCAAGCAGATTTTCTGAGACATGGCAAGAACACTGAGCCATCTTTTCACACCAGACTAATTCCAACCAGTTTCAAATATCGGAGCTTGCGAGCATTGAGCCTTTCTCAACAGTGAAGGGCAGCAGGCCCAGAGAGGCGCACCTCATCACAGGCACAGCAGCGGGGCTTCAGTCTCTCGGCGTGGTGCCGGCCACAGTAGAGCTTGCCATCCTGGTAGAAGTAGATGAGATCCACCAGCATTTCCTCGCACATGCAGCACACGAAGCAATTTGGGTGCCACCATTTTCCGTGACCCGCCCTGGCGGCAAACACCACGATGTCGCCTCCCTGTATTTGACCACCACACTGGGAGGGAGCATAGAGGAAAGCAAATTTCATTGAAAAAAAGCAAGGAGGAACTAAGAATCTAATGCTTGACAAGAGTTTATGCTCTTTATTACTCTCATTAGGGATGGGCGAATAAATAGTCTTTAATCACGGCGCAACTCCTCTCAGCTCTTCAGCATCAATATTAGTTTTTCCTTGCAGGAAGATGATAAAGAATATATGACAGTAAGTACCCTAATATTGGCTGTTCACGTGTGTTATAAAAGTTTGTTTGTCCCTCTGAAGTGATGCTATTGAGTGTTAACATAACCAAGGGTGACTGAAAAGCAAAGCTCACTTGGATGAGGTTGTATTGACTACACAAGGTGTCATTCTCTTTTTTGTCTCCTGTTTAGTTTGCCAGTGATATTCAACCGGGAGCCTGAATAAACATATTGAAGCCCGTTTTTTTTTCATGAATTGTTCTCTCATTGCCAAAATGCTGCTTATTATGACGAGAGTTCAGTTCATTGTTACCACACGCTTAAATCTGCATTTGCAAGTTTGAACAAAAAATTAGCCAAACGACGGCTCAATATTGAACAACTTGAAAACTGAGTCACTTGTATCTTAAGGCGCAGTTGTACACTCTTCCTTAAACATATACTGTAGCTGGGACGACATCCTCGTTATATGAAGCCTTTTCTTTTCTTCCTACCTTATCACAGATGGCCCCATTAATGGTTAAGGGGAAAGGACGGACGTTGCCTCTGCCCAGGTTGTCCTTCTTGCGTTGGTTGCTGAACAGCTTCAGTTCCCGTTTCTCTTCCTCATCCAAGGAGTTGCAATAACGCACCTGGACAACACAGTTTATCACCAGTCCCAAATATGCGGCTCCCACATGCGTATCGAAGCCGGATAGACTAAACAATATCATGTCAATCTCGTCAAACAGCACAAAGATTTTTCTTGTTCGGCTTGCAAATGCTTTACCTCATTGTCGTGTGGTGGTAACTGATGTAGCAGTTGTTTGATGCGGTATTTCTCCCCAGGGCTGTTAATGTAAGGGACCTTCTCTTCGGGTAAGGAGTTGTAATACTGATGCACCTGTTACAGACAAAAAACATCCATCCATTTTCTAATCAGGTTATCCTCACGAGGGTCGCGGGCGTGCTGGAGCCTATCCCAGCTGTCTTCAGGCAGTAGGCACGGTACACCCTGAACTGGTTGCCAGCCAATCGCAGGGCGCACTTAGATGAACAACCATCCGCACTCACACTCACACCTCGGTACAATTTAGAACGTTCCATTGACCTGCCATGCATGTTTTTGGAATGTGGGAGGAAACCGGAGTCCTCGGAGTAAACCCATCCAGGCAGTGGGATGATTTTCAAAATATAATACAGCGATTCAATGGAAACTGTATTGCAAAACTAGAAATGACTCTGATTTGATTTGCATTACTAATGGTCAGTTGAAAAATTGATCAACAAATTGAGTCGATCATCCGTTTGGCTGGTTTGGAAATCACTTCATTGCTACACATGTAAGACTGCCGATTTCTCTTGCTGGATGAGGGATGCTTCAGCCTTTACCCACATTCTATCATAATGGCTGACAGGCAATGTGACTGACTGGATGCACAACTTGCTTTCATATTTTTTTATGATGCCCCCCACAGTTAAAGAAAACCTGTTTGTCGGATGTCACAACTGATGAAAGCAACACGTACGGTTTCGTCTTCCTCTGCCATCGATGAAATGAGCTTGGTCATGCATACAATTAAAAGGAACTTAACTGCAAATGAGCCCATTGTGGCACCCAAACGCATTAACACACATTTCAATTAAATTCATCCATACGCCCATTGATGTAAATGACTTCCATTCCTTTGGGTTTCATTTTGAAAGGCAAGTTTTGAATCCCACTGAAAGCAGGAATCAGCAATTCATTTCTGGAATGATATATTTCTGTCATATTTCCAGACAAATTGCACAGTTGCTTCTGGAGGAAATTGCTTTTTCGGTCGAGTGATCCAGGCGACATTTGTTCACTGCATCACAGACTCTTCAAACACTGGAATCAGTCAATCAGTATGGGGTTGCTTTTAAACATTTGGTCATGCTTGTCACTCTGTCGGAATGTGAACTGAATTCCGACACAGTGTCGGCCTTAATGTTGCCTCAGAAAAAATGTCTTAACAATTATTCTTCCAGGAAAAGCCTGCCGGATTAGTTGCGGTGATTTGTTTGACCCCTCCCGACCCCAATCACCCTAACCAAGTGCAAGCCAAAGACTCCTAACACACCGTGAAGGGAATCAGTGAATTAACCATCTTAGTGTTATTGGGAAAATGCCACTGATCACCCAAATAATGAAATTCCTCTTCCTGATTTAGTTCAATTCGTTGCAGTCTGGCTCCAGCACAGAAACAACATTAGCTAATGGAGCGTGCAAGAGTGGCGGCACTGCGGTGTCAACTATGAGACGAAAATCTCTTGTGAGTTGAAGATGAAGAAGGAGAAAATTGGGCATGTACCTGCTCCGGACTGAGGCCGGGTGGAACCCAGACGTATTCCTCCAGAGCGCATCCGGAGTCATCATCAGAGGTGGAGTTCCTCTGGAAGTCGTACATCAGCTTGGTGATGGTCTTCTCCATCTCCAGAGACATGGCTGTCACAACATGCTCGGTTGCACGCGTTGCTTCAGGGGAGGCTGGTACACCTGCTACTGACCCGCCCACAAAAAGGGAGCCAAAAATATGAAAACAAGAGTGATGAGGATATGGCAGCGCTTGAGTGTTTATCTTCTCCGTTTACAAGGTACCATGTGGACCGCACAGATTTAGTGGCAAACATTAAATGCACCAAAATGTTTGTGGAGCGAGCCAAGTTGCGCTGCCAATTCTACAGATGCCCACTAACACGGAGGAGCCTTTTGCATTTTTGATATTTAACGAATAGATGGAGATTGCCCGCACCGATGCGGGCTGGCAAACAAAGAGAGAAGATGGCGCTGGCAAGACATTTTATGTGATGAGACCTTTAAATAAAATGAGATGCAATATGATGTAATATTATAAAAAGATAGATAGATAGATAGATAGATAGATAGATAGATAGATAGATAGATAGATAGATAGACGTTAAGTATATCGATTGTACAAAGATTATATCAATATACATCCATGTACATACATGCGTCCGTCCATCCAATTTTTGGAATCTTGGTCATTTTAAATGATTTGAATCGGTTGGGAAATGTGGACGGAGAGCACTGAAAAAGTGGTGAGAGTAATAATGATTAAGAATATTGTTCTAAGATAACATACAATTTAGAATACATTTTTAACCAAAACAACACAACTTGACCTCAGCCAATGAGGTAATGTTCTTTGGTTGTGTGTTTGTACATTAGCAGGATTCAGTGGCGGACCCTGAGGGCCAGCAAGGCCTTCTCTGCTGGCCTAAACATTCTCAGAAAAGTAAATTTACTTTTATGTATTTTATGTTATTTTATAATTTATGTTATTTTATTTTCATAAATATGTAAACAAAATTATTCTCTGTATTCTTTACGTCATATTATTTCCACTGAGTTGAGTGGCTTTCAATGTTATTTAAAATAACA